CTGCAGAAGGACACAGGAGTGCCTTAAAATCTCAGATTTAAAACCTCAATTTCCATGCTTTATTTTTATCTTGTGGTTAATAATATTTAATAAACATTTTTCGTAATGATCACATTGGTACCCTTATTTTATTAACCAAACTATCTATCTTACATCGTTCTGGGTAAGTCCGACAGCAGAGCCTCTGATCAGGAGATTTTGAGAAGCGTGGAACCACCTCTTAATTGCTGGTGTTCCCAGGTCCACTCTAAACTGGGGTGGTAGCACCTGTTAGGGTCTCAGCTATGGGCAAATAGTTAACCCTTCCCCCAAAAAGGTTCAAAACACGATGAAACTATAAAGAAATAGGTTTTAATAGTAACAATACTTTTTGGGGAAAATTATTACTAGCAATACATTTTTGAAGAAAAATTATTACCAGCTGAACATTTTTTTAAATAAATATTACCAACAATATATTTTGGGGGAAAAATATTAGAGCAATAAAAACCTAGTCGGCATTTAATAACCCATTGAGGTGTTGGTATACATTAAAAGAAAATAAACCAAACAAGACTCTCGACAAAAACTCTCTTTACAAAAATACGTCAATGAAACCTGATAGAAAACTGATTTCTTACAAAGAATACATGTTCTATTCCTGCGAACCTATCCTAAAAATCTTGTCGGCATTAAATAACCCACTGAGGTTGATATACCGTAAAGCAAAATAAACCAAACCAATCTAAACCAAAGAATACATATTCTATTCATACGAATCTATCCTAAAAATGTTGTCGGCATTAAATAACCCATTGAGATTGATATGCCATTAAACAAAACAAAACAAACCAATCTAAACCAAAGAATACATATTCTATTCATACGAATCTATCCTAAAAATCTCAATAACCCGCTGAAGTTGATATGCCGTAAAACAAACCATACAAAACCAAGTTTGCCGCCAATCCGTCCTTCTGGTGTTAAATTTTACAGGCCCACTTTCTTCAATATGATTTACAGAAAATATTTCTTTCTGGTTGTAACAATTCGTTTCCTTAAGCCCGAACTAACGCTCGTCAGTTTGATTCTTTGGTAAGCAGAAAAAATTTGTTAGGATTGCTTGGAATATTTTCACACATCCGCCGTATTCAGCAAATATTACAACTTCAGATTACTTTTCATTAACATCTTCACAGAATTCTGTTAACGAAGTCAATTTCAATTCTCTTGAAGACTTCATAAAGCGCTCGCAGTCATTCCTTGCTTAAAAAATTAATAAGCTCCGACAGGAAGTAATTCAGAATTTGCTAAGATGGCCGATTATACTGGCGCAAGCTTTTTGTACAAGAATAATTTCGGTGTAGTTTATTTTAAATTACAAAACCACAAAAATATTTCATTGATTCTCACCAGTCAAGGTGAATGACTGAATCCCCCAGAGACGCTCCTTGTCAAAGAGTTATCAGATATCTTCTGTTGATTCCCCCCCTCATCAAGGACTCATGGTACAGTGACAGGAAGAAGAGTAGAGAAGGGCCCAAAGAGTGTGAGTTCAATACCTGGTTAAGGCAGTGGAGAACTTTGAGAGGGGGAATTAACAATTAAATATATATATATATTACCAAGAAGATAGAATCCAGGTAGAACTCAATCTCCGGGAGAGAGAGTAAGAATTGGATCTTGATTACGATTCCAATGTAATAAATTATAACCATGGAATATTAGGGTTTGAGCCTTTTATATATATATATATATATATATATATATATATATATATATATATATATATATTAACTGATTTAAAATATGTTTTTTTTCGCTACACAGTTCTAACCTTGTTTCAAAAATGGAAGCTAAAGCTTCGAATTTAATTTTGTAATTAAATTAAAGACATTATTTCCATTTCATCTCCAAGCGAATTTTGGAGTCTTATATATAATTATATGTTTTTTCTTCCGGACGGTCTCCTTGTTTAAGTTGGATAATGCTGTCCTAATCCTTGCCTTCAGTTCATCATTGGTGTTAAGGGAGTTATTTTGATCTCTCACTCAACTGTGACCCATACATAATAATCAAGTGGGTTACAGTCTCGGGACATAGGTGGCCAGATATAAGAAGTGGTGTGGCCACAGAAATTGTCTGACAGTTATGACTGTGTTCTCCTTGCTTGTGTGGTATGGTGCAGAATCCTGTTGTCAGATATAGGGTCTTCCAGCAAAATGTAAAATATTCGTATTGGAGATTCCGGTGCGAATGCCAAGCGGTACTACGTGCCGTTTCCAAATTTCTGGCGTAGTGAATTGCGCTCTTTTTCTCACAGGCGCTGCCCAACTCACCTTTCTATACTGTGCAGTCAACAAAATAAAATCTATCACGGCGCATGCGCGAAATTAAAAATATAAAATGGCGATAATTTACCCATTGCACAATGTACACATATTTATGCATATATGTATATATGTGTGTGTGGGGGTGCGCGCGCACATACACATACACACACACATATATATATATATAT